GAGAGAGAGAGAGAGAGAGAGAGAGAGAGAGAGAGAGAGAGAGAGAGAGACGTAATGGTTGGAAATACTGGGGACTCAGTGGGGAGAAAGAGTGCAAACAGAACCGTTGGGAGAAAGAGTGCAAACAGCAGCGTTGACATCATGGCAATTGACGAAGCCAAAGCCTCCTTCAGACAGATGTGGGGAATGCATGAATTGGGACAATATACTTGACGGAACTCGACTGGCCCGGGCCAGTCTAACACTTGAAGCATTTTATGGAGTCGGACCCGGCGCTGCGAATCATGTTCATAATCCTTAAATCCCAAGCTCGATAACCAACCTCTAGCTCAGGCCCTAGCACCCTGATAATATAAGTATATCATTTTCTCTCCATTTTCTTTACCTTATAGGCTTATCCTGAGATCACCTTCAAGTTGCCTGATCTCTATCCTTACCAGCCTATTACCAGGTACTAGGACGTGAAACGAGACCTTCCAGAAGTAGAAACACATACTCACAAGTAGTGACAACTTTAAGTTTACGGACTCTACGCCTCTTGCAAGCCAATACACGACGTGCCACTACAAATAGGCTTCATCCCTAAAGCTAAAAACGCACACTAATAATATTCATACTTTCATTCATCTCGGATAATCCACGGTGACCACGAGAAACGCATACGAGCCTCATGTTTTCACTCTCCTTTTCACTCAATCTCATTTCAAATTGTTCCAATGAATCAACAACAATATTTCTTCCATTTGCGAGCCATCGATCCCCCGCCGCTGAGATGCCAACTTCTTTCCAACAGTTACTTACCAATCTCCCAGTGGCAGTGCCTCCCAGCCTCCCACCCTTCCAGTTTTACTTTCCGCCCTCCTACCGATCGTTCTCCGCGGCGCTGATTTATCCTCGCCCCAAAAGTTACTGAGTTAATACTAAGTTACCAACGGTAACGAACCAATCATCGTCGCAGTCATGATGACGAGACGAGCACGTCGAGCAGCTGTCAAGACTGACTAAGCAAATTCGTAGAAGGCATAGAACCGCAGCAGCTGTGAAGCCTGTGATGAAGATGCCGCAATCGCCTTCTAGCACACTTTTTGAGTGCGGGCCCGCGGGCAAACTCGCGCAACAGGGGCAGCGTTCCAGGAGTCAATGGCATCGAATCGAGTTTCGAGAGACGATGATAAATCCCGTCCAAAGACAGCGGATGGGGAAAAGCTCGAATTTTTCAAATTCAAATTTCCAACAGCAACAAACGTCGTCAAACGACAACAACAGAAGGGGGAAAGAAAAAGCACATCCGACATCGAACGTCGAATGATCTCCCGCAACTTCATTCCGGTCAAGAGATGCAGAAAAGAAACTCTCGTAAGCAAGAAACAATAAGTTAACGAGCAAAGAAACTTAGAAAGGGAACACAGTGACTTGAAAATGATCGGCCCTCAAGTAATTCAGCAGCCCTTGCTTTGAATCCATCTATACTTGGAGCTTAAGAGTCAAGACCCCATTCTGGGCTCGAGGAACAAGAGTGGGTGGCGGTGGCCTTCAATGAATTCAAATCTCGGCGGTAGACAAAGTGCGCCAGATCGCGGGTCCAATCTGCTACGGTAATAACACAGTCGGAGAGTTCAACATCCCAACTTTCTCTGCACTGGCGTCGTGGATGAAAGGCGCATTTGTGTTGTCATGGTCACACAGAGAGAGAGAGAGAGAGAGAGAGAGAGAGAGAGAGAGAGAGAGAGAGAGAGAGAGAGAGAGAAGGTGAGTCTGCCAGTCTGGCAAACCCACGTGTGTTTCAATGCGCACATGCGTGGGAAATTGGGAATGTATTTGCCGCGGCAGAGCCAAACGTATTCTGAAGTAGGAGTGGGCCAGTCCGGTGTCCGCATCGATGGAGCTCAGTAAGGCAGAAGGCAAACTTCGGCGAAGAATAAAAGACGAGTCCGCCAAGATGGGTGTGACTCCGAACTTGGGAAGTGCTTGCAGAAGTTGCAGTGTTATCAACTTATCACACCTAGCATTGCTAGGAATGCTAGCATGCTTGCGTTCAATGCGTTGCAATGAGTTTAGGTCTAACTCACTCCGCATTGCAAAGCACAGGTCACATGACTGACAGGAGAGAGAGGCTGGAGCAGATGTGACTAAGTAGAACGGACTCGTAACTTTATAAGGTATATGTGAACATGGTGAAGATGTTAAAAAGGGACACGACGAGATCCGAAGAGAGGCAAAGGCCCAAAGGGCCAATTTGAAAGGCAATTCGCAGTGACTTTTTAACTCTCTCCCCACCCCAAGGGCGGAGAGACTGCAGTCTGCAGAACCTTCCTGAATCCTGTTGCAGATTCGCTGAACATAGCCATAGCACTTTGTGACCTACTAGGTAGCAACTGCGACTCTGCTGACAGAGTCAGCCTGGACGTGCACGTGACCCGTCACAACTCATTCAATTGGACCCCCCTTTCCCCAAAAGAACATGCGAAATGAACACTCCCAGAGCGGCGGTCGAGTGACTCGAGTCGTTGGAAAAGCACTGGCAGCGATTGCGTCAACTGGCGGTCATACCCGCAAATGACTAACGGCGTGCCGCCGAGAACTCGCTGTTGCGAAGCTCAACGTCACATGGACTCAGTCTGGTGAAGCTCTACAAACACGAAGTAGTTCAATCTGGGTGCAGCCGCTGCAGCGACATGAAGGTTCGTCGTAACGCAATTGGATGGGAAGGCGACGGAGACTGACGGAACCTTCTTCCCCCCGCTCCTCTCCTCCCCCCCCCCCCTAGCCGGAAGGAGCAGCAGAGCCTGCTTGACACATATGTCCCACAGTCCCAGTCATTCTGATCAGTTAGCGGGAAGAGTATAATTGAGTGAGATCCTCTACGGTCTCTACCGGCTGCTTTGTCAGTAGGTGAAGCGATTGGTTAACAAGTTGACGACTCTTTGTCAGTACTAGCCTACTAGGTGGATGCTTTCATTTGCACCGTAATCGGAAAAAAAAGAAGAAGGCTTAGCCCATTCAGTCAGCCAAGAATCACCCGATCGTCCGGTGATCCGTTGTCAACTCTACGCTGAAAGATACTGTGGTGTGAAGATGACTTCGAAGTTCAGTTTGTCACACAGAGAGAGAGAGAGAGAGAGAGAGAGAGAGAGAGAGAGAGAGAGCGGTTTTT